TGGTTCTATCACTGGTAGGTCAAGAGGCAGATGTGAATTAAATACTTCCTATCCTCCCATATTTTCCAGAACATATTGGCTGATCGTTTTGCATAACTTAGCTTATAGGGATTTTTAGTGTGAATTCTAAAATCTACTGCAGCTTGTTAAACCAGCACCAAGAACTGCTATATTTGTTCTATAGGCAATTATTTAATGCATTCACCAATATATGATGTATTTTGTGGGGGTTGCATGATTCTTTCAAATCTTCTCTGATTCTTTAATGGACATAAACTCTTGGATAACAAAATTTCACAGTCTTACCACAATTTCCCTATCCCATTGAGTAAATAAAAACCTAGCAGGGACAGAAAGTAAGACTAGCCAACTAGTAATTTGAAGTGGTATGTACTCTTTCTTATTCAGGAACATAAGATTATCACAGCATGGACTCATGTTTTCTTCCAGATCTTAATGATCTAGCTTCCTCTTTGGAATCACTTAACATCCCAATGGCACAAACTGTATTGTCGCTTGTCTTCATCTCTATGCATGAGATGAAGAAGTATGTAATGGATTTACATTCTTCTCAAGCTATTCTATTTTAATCACCTATTAATGGATGTGAGTCAGCAGTTGTGTAATGTAAACAATTGATAGAGAAGGTTACAGAGTCTAAATTGTTTGGGGAAGTCCATATCAATGGCTAGCATAAATTAAAATAATAAAAGGTTCTTTTAAACTGGAAAATGACTGTGACCTGCAAAATTATATGATATCTACAAACTGCAAGAAAATGAGAGATCAAATCATGTGTGAAAGCATGGGGAGTATCTTATTTACTGCCTAAGTCAGCAAAAGGCTGAGCAGGCACTGGTGTTTCATATGTTGCCTTGGCTGTTTCCCTAGGTACTCCAATGGAATGGTCTCTGTCCTAACAACTAACACCTACTCTGTTATTCTTTCTTCTAGGACCAGATGTATTGCCCGAGTCTTAATTGTCTATTAGTCATCTTTCCCATTAACCCTTTAGAACTTTGAGTCTAATTTACAGTATAGTTTGTCATGAAAGAGGATCGAAGTGAGTGTGGTACACATAGAGTTTTCAAACACCTGATTGCTTCTATTTAAATTTTTAAGGATTGGAGAAACCTGGAATCTCAAGATCTTTACTACTTTTAAGAGTACTTGTGCTTACTGAAAGATGCATTTCCTCATCATCTCATGGGGATCCTGTGATTAAATTGGAATAGCAGATTTCATTAATATAAATAGGTAAGAAAGGGGAAAAAAACCTTAATAAATAGTAGTTTTCAAATTACACTTTAAAATCCTCATATGGAAACTGAAAATAAATATTGCTGTGCTATTGGCCCCAAGAAGGTCTGAAAATCTCTCAGAGGAGTGAACAATTCAGTTCAGCTTTAACTGAGTGTGAAAATTTAAAACACAGCTTTTATGAGCTTAATCAGCTGCATTTCAGCAGAGGGCAACAATAATAGGCTACAATTCATGGAAAAAGATAATAGTATGGCAGTATTCTACTGCATTACTGCTTCTCTGGCACGAAGATTTTTAAATAATAAAATTTAAAAAGCCCCAAACATTTGCAATCGTTGTGCACACCTGAAGCCAAGGTCTGCTCATTTGTGTACCTGCTGAGAAGTGCTGTGTTCCGTGTTCTTGTTTGTTTCCTCTGCAGAGCAGTTACAGCCATCACTGAGAAAATATCCATCTGTGGTTGCAACATCTAGTGCATCAAAAATGACTGAATTTGGCCATGGGACATTTTACATTACGTTCCACTTTATATCATCTCCCTGCCCAGTATTCTTGATGTCTATGATATCCAAACATACTGTGAGATGAATTTTTGGAACATAGCTAGTAAAATGTATTTGTACCATTAACAATCAGTTATATTTTGAATCAATCTTCTTTGACAGCTTTCACTAAAATATATTCTTCCCATCCCTGAAAGTTTTCAAAGCCAGAGCTCTGGTTGGAGCTCTGAACAGCCTGGTCTTGTGAAAGGTGTCCCTGAGCATGGTAGGGGGTTGGAATTAGGTGACCTTTAATGTTCCTTCCAATCTAAATCACTCTGTGTTTCTATGATACCACTATTAGTCTTGTATTATCACCACTTATCAATTTCCTTGTCAGATGCAAGATACTGCAGTGACCTTTTTTCTGATTCCTTCCTCCTCCTTCCACCTCGAATTGATCATCAATTCCCAAATCACTTTCTCTATGGTGTTCTTAGATTTTTTTTCCTAATTTGCATTAATGGAAATTGAATCAGAATAGAATATCATCCATCAGCACCTGGTTTTTTGTGTTTGAGGTAGAAGCAGGTAGTTCTTGCTAACTTCAGATCAGCCTACATTGTATTTGTCTTCAGACAAGTGTTTGTTTTCTAGCTTCTTCTTCTGTCTACTTTTGTGCCATTCCTGATTTTTAATTGCTCTGTACAAACACATCTTTATAAAGAATATTCTCAGAACACCTCTGTTTTTAAAGTATAATATCTCCTGTTTTTTATTTACTTTATTTACCTTTATTTTATTACTTTATTTATCTGCTGGTGTTTTATTTAGAAATATTACATTCATGTATATTTGCAGTGTGTTGAACTGGTGAAAACAAATTTTATTTAATTGCATCAGTAATACTATGTGCTTAATTACACATAGTATTACAGCGAGTTCAGTAAAGTTATGGAAGACTGAAACAATATTTCTCTTTTAGATAACTAGTAAAGTAACTGAAGATTTTTTTGTCTCCTTTCATTTCTGGAAAATGTTTACTTATAGGTTTTAAGGACCAAATAATTTAGGTCTGGAAATTAAATTTTACTCAATATACATTGTAACATGCTGGGAAGAACATATGTGTGCTGCCTAATTGTTGAACTTTTTTATTCTGTAATATTCAGTATTTATGCACATGAATGATAAACATTTTGGTGTTCCTAAAACTAATCATACTTAGCAGTTTTTAGTTTCAGGTAGACTTGAACAACTATAATGCAACTAAAGTTTTGAAGTTTCTGTAAAAGAATTTAAAATAATGTATTTCAAGAAATCACCTTATATACCTAAAAAACCCCATAGTTTAATTGTTTTAATTAATCAAAATAACAACAGTTAAAACAACCATGTAATGTAGGTGCTTAGATTGTATTTTAGAAAATGAGCTGGAAATTTTTGAATGAGAAAATGATGTTTCAAGTATGTACTTACATTTTAGAAGAACATTGACTGTACACAATGTACCTAATATACTTTGTACCTGTTAAAAAAATGCAATCTTTGTGTTTGAATTAAATAAAAACAATCCTAAATTATTTAATATGTAACTGTAACTTTCCACTAAGTAAACATTTTCAGTATTTTGTTTAGAAAAGTAAAATTTCTTTTTCTTAACATTGTACTTTCAGAATTTAAAATTTTCAGGCTTTTAGCTATAGTCTCTCCTTAGATTACAATACATACAATAGTTTCTACTAACACAAACAGGGATTTATCATGCTGGAGTAATTAATGTTTGATTTAGGAATAAATCCCAGAAGTCTTCAAGTATTTTTTAGATCAAAAAAAGTGGGTTTTATCTGCTTTTTATTTTAAAAAAAATCACATTAGAGAGGTGGTATCTTGTATGGATTAAATTTATCCATATCCATATGTTTCTTTGTTCTTTGAATGTCCTTGTTCCTCTAATGCTTCTCCTTAACTAGCATTGAAGAAAGAAGGAAGGGTAGAAATGTTCTTCTGACACTTTTGAGGCAGGATACATTTGAAAACCAACTGAAATTAGTTGCCATTATGTTCTTCACAGTGGGAATTATCCTTTGATAGCAAAATTGTGGGATGTCAGTGACACATGCTCAGTATTTGAATGAGGAATTCAAAGAGCTTGCGACTGCAGTCTGGTTCTGAATTCTGCAAAGCACATTGCCAGCACATCTCTGCATGTTGTTTAGGGACAATATTGTAAACACTGGAGGAAATTCGGTGGTGATTCTTCTTTTCTTCTAAAAAGATGTTGCAGGTTGGTTGAAGCAGTTTAATGTTATATTGTGTTTTCAGGGCTTTTCAGCTCATTCAGTTACATTCCATACAGAGACCTAGTTGACAATGTCTTTAATTTAAGTATGTTTTTATTCTAGGTATTAGGTATCTGTCATTGAATGCACATTTTAGATTTACTAGGTTGTCAAAAGCTTTCAGAGCTTATGCTTAAAAAAACCCTTTTTTTTTTTTTTTTTTTCCTAGTAATGGTAGGAATGGGTATGTTCTACACATAATTCTTTTTGTATTGGACACTTGTGCTAGAAAGCTGGCAATGTTTGTTCAGACGGGGTCCATGAACTGCGGGGCTAAACAGAAGCTTGTAACGAATTAGGTGTCTCAGCCTGGTTTTCTCTTTACTTTTCACCTAAGGACATTGTTGAACGTTTTAAGAAAAATTACTTGAACAATTATCAGAACTGATTTTGTGTACTTGATTTTGCACCTAGGATAAAAGGATAGAGTAAATGATGTTTCCAAAGCTGTTCCAACCCAAATCTTCATCATTCCTTAAGGAAAGGAGGTTGCTTAGAGTTTGATGACTTTGGTGGTTGGCAGTAACTTGCTATGAAATAATTTTGAGTTAAATCTTCTAATATGAAAAAAAATTAATTTTTTCTAATAATTTTCTGTTCTAATAATAAGAAAAAAAAAGGAAATTACATAGTGTTTCAGAATTTAGAAATAATTTTGTGTGTATGCACCTCTCTTGGATTCTAAATAGCAGAATGAACCCTGTGGTTCATGACCACAGAAATATGCCATTGCTCAAATGAGCTTGCCAAAGTTTCAGTTCATTTACGGCAGGAGATTTTATTTTCTTTTTTCCAAGCATAATTTGGAAGGGAGGGTCTAATATATGTGTCTAAAATCCAGTTGGGGTTTTTTTTGTTTTGTTTTTCATTCTAGTGGCTGAGTATTAATCTATTTCTTTATTCATTTTTATAGATTAAAAAAATCAACAGGAATTTTCCCGTAAACCAGCAGGTAAGAAAAAAGAACAATTTGGGTTTTTCAAATTCATAATTCTAATTCTCACTTGAACTATCTTTAATTGTGTGCTAGTTATTCATTATTCTACCTGAAGAATTCTCAGTAGATTTTCTTTAGAGAATACCTTGGTGTTTTAACTTTCTCAACTCAAAGGGAATTGGAGTGTTTCTTCAAAGTAAGAACATACCTAATCTTTTCAAATTAACTTATTTGATGAAGATATATATACTTTTCTTCAGATTGTGTCTTACCAATTTTACTATAAAACAGGAATGTTATCGTTATCCTTCACAGAATTAGCCAGAAGAAATCAATGTTCCAAAATTCTGGAAATTTTCTTCTTTTTGCCTATTGACAAATGCAGGAATAAAAAAATTAATATCTACACTACTGTTTAAACAAAAGATGAATAAAAGTTACCAAGGTAAAACTCAGTACACTGTACAGTTAAGTATGTATATGTTGTGTATGACAACTATTAATTATAAAATGATAATTTCCACACAAAGAACCTTGTTAAGGAGAAACAGAGCAACCTGATTCATAAGAAGGAAAAAATTGCTTCCTCATACAAGGAGAAAATATGTATAGGACTGAGCTGTAAACTTGCCTTCAAGAGGATGTATTTGAGGAAGAAAAGTGCTTTCACCTCCCTTACACCAAATCTTCAGTTAGCCAACATATTTCTCAGTTCCCTTTCTCTGGTCCAACTTTATTTATATGGAATTGCACTGAGTGTAGTTCACAAAGGAGGGAGTTACTCCTATTTTGTTTTCTATTTTCTTCATGAGATGATGCACAAATGTAAAAAATTAATGAAAATAATATAGTACTACTAATATTAACAATAATAACAACTATATGTGTAAGTATAAATGAAGCTACAATAGATGAAGTTAGTATTTGCATTTGGAAATTTTTGTAATAATTTGTATAACATCAAGTGCAGAGAGTGCAAAGATATGCTCCTATCTCAAAAGAAGGAAGATGATACTGCCTAATGAACAAAAAGCAGTTAATTGGTTCCATTTTCACTGTTATGATTCACCCTGAACTTATCTCTTTGCTTTCATTACTATAAAAAATAAAGACAAAAATATATAAAAAACCGTTAAAATGTCCCACCACTCTAGCATATAATTTAGGAATCTCTGCTGTTTTGGAACCCTTGTCACATGGGGTCAACAAGGCATTTTATTCTGCATTAGAACTCCTGTGGAAAGCAAAAATATCTTTCCTGGCTTGAATAGCTGTTTGGCCATGCTCTCTGTCAGGACAGCCTGCAATTATAATGCATTCATCTCTCATCAGCACCAATCATTATACTCCAAAGGAATTACTGTGGAGCACTTCAAGAAACTCAGTCAAAAGGTCAGACTGGAAAGAGAGGCTGATTTGATTAGCAGTGAAACTGGAAAGGTCTTGTTGCCTGTCAAATACTGGAGAAGAAAAAGGTTTACTTATTTCTTGATGTCTGAAATTTCAGGGAACATTGAATTCAAAACCAGATTTCCTTTTTGTCTTACCTTATATAGAGAGGATTGTAGTTTTTTTATCATAAAAGAAGTTAAGAAAACTCACCTAATTTAAATGAAATGGTTAATATCTTTCAGTAGAGTCAGAAAAGGCTACAAAGATGTAAGGTTAATTTCTGTCTTCATGTTCAGCAAGTATTAACACGGTATGCAGAGAATAAACAGGAATCTTTACTTGTTATATCAACACATCATTTACCTCAAAATTAAAATACCATCTCAAATAGTCTTGTCATCTTGATGTTTTAAAATAAAATAAATTTTTATCTAAGAGGTTGAACAGCTAGTTTTAACTTCTTTCTGCAAGCACATGATGAACATGAAAGCTGTCTTCATCCTGTTATACTTTTTTTTAAAAAAAAAGGTGTGTATATTTAATTTCACTTAACAAATACCCCAGGTTTTTTTTAATGAGCACTAGCTGGGCAATTTAAGGTTATTTTCACTTAGAATTTTTATACATACATATGTTGATTTTAATTAGTTAAGTAAAATGGAAGACAGTTGTCAAGCTAGAGTCAAGGAAACAATCCTTAGGATTTCTTAATAAAAATATTCTTGATATGGAGAAGACAATAGGAGCATAGACAGATCCATTAGCATTACAGCGAGGAAATACCTGCAAAGGTGTGTAAGATGCTGCAGCTCCAGTAGTGTTATCCAAACATCTCAATGTTGCAGCAAGTTAAAAAGATAAAAGAAAAAGTAATTAGAAAAGACTTGTTGAGAGCGCATAATGTGGCAGATTTCCTGTAATGTAGTAATTGTGAAAGTAGGTTTGTCTCGAAAATCGTTAGAAAGATAAGATATATTAATTAAAATTTAAAGATCAAATGTGATGTGTATCGATAAGAAGATGGTAATTATTTGGACAGCATGAAGCAATAAGAGGTTCTCAGAATGATGGCAGTACATTTAATAGTGGTGGAAAGATGATGCAAAAATGCTGGAAGAGGACCCCACAGACAACAAAAAAAAATTGAAGAAGATTTTGGGACAAGAGGGAAATAAAGCTCCCCCTCTCTGAGTTGAAAGTGATGATGAAAAGAACACTTGAAATGGTAAAAGATAGAAAATTAGATGTGTTTTCTATATTGGAACTGTATGGATTACATACATTTACACTGGATGTAAATAGTAACATTTAAGAGTATAATAGCAAGTAGTTGAGAAAAAAAAATAATTTTGGACTCAAAATATATTGACTATTTCAAATATGCACTAAGAAATATGACCTTGTCAACAAAATATCCATAAATGCAGAGAAAAAAATCATATAGACCTCGTAGCAAAGAGGCACAGAGACTGGAATATTTCAAGGCTTCAGCCAGAGGCTTCTCTAGTTGATCAGCCAGGATGGGAGTGGAAACATGGGCATGTTTCCTTTTCTTGGAGCTCCTGACCTCTGTTGAGCTGTTACATTGATTACAGCAAATGTCAGCTCCTGCAAAAGCCATCATTAGGCAGGTGAGTTTTGAAAGGCATCATCGACTCCCTGCTAGCTCTTTCCAAATGACAGGTCAGTAAACTGTGGTGGTGTAATGAGGACAAGCACTGCCCATTCCTTTTCAATTCCCAATCTTTTCGTTGTCCACCGTGAATTTGCAAATGTGCTGATCTCAGCTGAAAATTGACTTGATAGCATCTAGAGAAATGAGCATTAGGCAGTCCTTATAAAGCCTTCTGATCCTTTTCAGAGTGAGAAACCAAATGCAACCTCCAGCTACTAGGGATTTTACTATACATTATAACTCTCATTTTCTATTTGGGATTCATTGGGATTTGGCTTTTACTGGTTGCCATGCCAAGAGGATGAATTAGCAATATCTGGCTTAGATACACAGTGGAATTCAAGGTTTAGGTATAAATCTTAGTCTGGCCTGCAGTTCACCTCTTCCTGTCCCTACATGAACAAGTAAGTAAAATGTTCACCAGCTGCAGATGGGAAAGTCAAAACTTCACATACATGTTCACAAATGTAATAAATAGACACTTGCTTCTTTACTACATGGGCAACACAAGGTTTCACATGAAATAGATAAAAATATCATGGCAGAGGAGTGTATTTAAAACTTTCTTTTCCTATGTTGTATGTCTCATCTCTATTAGGATGAATACAAAGGGTACAACCTCCACCTTTCATATGCTGAATTCACCAAAAAAAGTATAACAGGGAAGAATGCTATAATAATTTTCTTTTTTTTTTTTTTGAGCACTATTTCTTTTCTTCCCACAGGTAGCGTGAGACTTTTTGAAATATTTGTATCTACAGAAGATAAGAAATTTTCATTAAATAGTTTTAGGATAATGTGTCCCTCTAGAATGTTCATGCTTTATGGGAAAAGAATTGGTAGCTGGTCTATTCAAAGTAGACAGTTAATAATGAGAATCATGTGAGAATGAGAAAGAGTGTATAACTGTGTTTAACTCAGTTTTAAAACAAGGTCATGGCATAATGAACTGGTGCCACACTAAGGCCAGAAACTGGGGTATCACTGTGCATGTCAGATTCCACAGTCAAGAACCCTGTTTTGAAGATAATATTTTTGATGGCCAAGAATGGGGTGATGGGATACATCTGATGGCATTCAAAAATATACATGGTTATGCCTATTTCCTTTTACTTCTTATATAAAGTAATAAAAACAGCTATACTCATCTGTACCAGATCAGCTATGTTGTGTCACCTCACATTCCGCTTTAATAGGGTGTTGTCCAGTTTTACTACAGTTCTACAGTAAGAACAATCTCATTTAAAATCAATTCTAAAAGTCTGACTCAATGAGCTTATTTAATAAAACCTAACTTATATTTATTATAAAGGTGAGTGCACACAGATGTCATGGTGACTGTCTTGCCCATCAATCAAGCCAGTGTTCTTTGCTTAGAGACACAACACATAGAGATCTGTTGCATCTCTGTTGCACCTGAAAAGCTGAATTCCATTGCTCAAGTGAGTTGATGGGACTGATAGAACATCTATTCTACTGATAAATACCTGTATGAAATAGAACACATACCTTTTTCTTTGTTACTAATTGCAGAGTAATAGGCTCTATTGCTGTTGTATTGGCATTTTTAAAATGCAGTGATTAACCAGAGAGTTCTGAAAAATTACATGTCCTCAAAAGAAAACAAGTCTGTTCTAGAAGTACATTAAGAGCAGTGGGGTTTTTTTTCCTCTCCTTAGTGTATTTTCTTTTTCTTTTCTTTTTTTTTTTTCTTCATAATTTTGCCTGTCTGTTGAATTAATTATTTTCTGATATTCTCTTCTGTGGTACCTCAGAGTAGCCATCCTGCAGCTCTTGACTGACAGTTACTGAACTTTCAGATGCAATGATGCCTCTGCTCTGTCACCATCTGTTGTCACAGTAAGGATTTGATCAGGTTTATTTTGAAGGAAAATCTCTGGAATGAAGCTTCTATTGTTAAATGATTATAGAAACACACAGGGGAAGC